CTAGTTGCCCCTCATGCCCCCCCCTGCTGGCCTGGTCACCCCACACAGCCTGCTTGTTCAGTCATTTGGTCGTTCCTCACTAACCTCCCTGCCGGCCTGGTCATAGGCAGCCATCTTATGAGGGCGTGAGGATTAATTTTCATTTTACCTCTTTGTTATATAGGATTTTCATTCAATGAAAGCATGCAGATTTTTAGGTAATTTATTTAAGCCATTTAAAGAGATTTTCATTTCTCTTAAAGACTGAAAAATTAGCTGTTGTTATGTTTTTTGTTGTTTTGTTTTTGAAACTGGATAGGGCCTGGGGAGACCGGGCGTATGTGTGCTCACCACCTGTGACATTAGAAAGATGAGAACAAGAGAATGCCAGCTATTGATGTTGCACCTGTGGAAACTGAATTTCATCTCTTTTCTTTCTGCCCTCTCCCCCTAATTTTCACTGCAGCTATTTTAAAGCCAGTGAAAGTTCCATGCAGGTGTTAGGCATGAATAAAATCTGCCTACCACATGTTCCATCTGTTTAGCTTTGCTAAGAATCAACTTATTTCATCTGATCCTAAGAAACCTATTTCATTCACTCTAGTGCAGGGGTAGGAAACCTTTTTTCTGCCAAGGGACATTTGAATATTTATAACATAATTCACAGGCCAGACAAAATTATCAATTTAAAAATTAGCCTGCTATATTTGGTCAAACATTTAATGAACTCACTCCTAATGCTTTGGCAGGGCCAGACCAAATGATTTTGTGGGCCTTATGCAGCCCGCAGGCTGGATGTCCCCCATCCCCACAGTGGGAGCATTCTCCCCACCTTTGCTGACTTGATGTGATTTAAGGGCATCTCAAAGTTGCCTGTTGCTCAGACATACATGTCACAGCACTGAGCTTGGTTGGGATGCAGCTGCTTCCTGAGAGCAGGCATGATACTATGTAAGTGCCCAGGTGGCCAGTTCCCATCTCTTATAGTTACTTCCCAAGTCCAAAATGGTTATTATTCAGGAGAATGAATAATAACCATTTTGGACTTGGGAAGTATCAGAAGAACACAGCCTCTCAGTGATGGGAAATCAGGTGAATTTATGGCTTAGCTTACGCAGCCTAATTTTGGCTGAAAAGCTTGAAAATGTTGGCTGAAACAATTGCAAAGCTTAATTGTTGAGTACAATAGAAGATAATGCTTTCCAGCTCCTGTTCAATCCCAGTTTGGCTGGTGGTGCTAGAAGACAATGAAAGTGGTGTAGTTAAAAAAATGAATTGGCATTATTAGCTTAGGTCCTAAGGAATGGGGAACTCTACGTCCTAGAAGCTTCAGTCTAACTGGCACCAGGCCTGACAGGCCCTGAGTTCTAAAAGCCAGGAGTCCACAGCAGGAGAAAACTGTCACCTAAAGAATTATCAACCTGACCCTGGTTGGTTTGGCTCAGTGGATAGAGTGTCAGCCTGCAGACCAAAGGGACGGACTTTGATTCCAGTCAAGGGTGTGTACCTTGGTTGCAGGCTCCTCCTTGGCCTGGGCCCTGGTCAGGGCACGTGCAGGAGGCAACCAATCAATGTGTTTCTCTAACATCGATGTTTCTCTGTCTTTCCCTCTCCCACTCTCTCTAAAAGATCAATGGAAAAATATCCTTGGGTGAGGATTAACAACAACAAAAAAGAATTATCAGCCTGAGTTGACTCCTGGTGAGCCATGTGACCTTTCCTCTGACTCACTTTGGAGAAAATTTCTTTAAGTTTTGAGAAAGTGGAGACTGAAGTGTTTTTTGTATGCTGCACCCAGCATCTCACACCACTTTCTCCTTGGGACTGCCTTCTGATGTTCCTTACTCCCCCTTAAGCTCTTTCTATGGATCCATCTGCCATTAATGCCAGCAGCTTTTCCCCTTCTCTTTGACATGGAACTTTGCACAAAATTGGAAACCACAGTGCATGCTTCCCCCAGCCTTGCCCCTTTGGGATTTTTGTTGTAGGACCGATTATGCCTTCTGCACACTCTGGGGTAAATTCTCATTGCAGGCAGTTTCCAGAATCATTATCTTTTAAAAATCACTGGTTTATACAAAGGAAAACCTTTCAAGAAATTCATGACTTGTTTTCTTTGAGAGGCAGTATAGTATGGCAGTCAAGTACGGGAACCTTGGATGCCAACTGCTGGATTTAAATCCTGACCCTACCCCCAGCTATGTGAACTTAAACAAGTCACTTAACTTCTCTTTACTTCTGTTTCCTTATCTGTAAAATGAAGAAATAATAATCCTTATCTCAAAGGTTTGCTGTGAGAATTAATGAGTAAATAAATATATAAAGCAATTAGAACAGTGCCTGGTATACAGTAGACACTATGTGTGCTGGTATTAATATAATTAGAAGAATCCTCATTTAATTTTTTAAAGGAATCCTGATCTGACAGTCTCATTTATAAAATCAGAAAAGACATTACAGTCCTACACATACTTCACAAGCAGTCTTATCTCTTGCCCTTCTTTTACCTCATCCTCATCCCTCTACTTCCTGATATTGAAACTCTAAGGACGACCCATCACCTTTTGTTGCTGTGCACTTGCTAGACTTCAAACAGATCTGTGTGTGACCCAGCAATGGACTTGAGAACAGCAAGCCTTCCAAAACAGCACCAGCCACTCTCTAAAGAGATGGGGCCCATTGTCTTCATTTTTACTCCATTAACACCTAAACTCCCTTCACTCCTGCAGTCAATCATGTTCAAGTTACACTTCTCCTACCTTGATGTCGGTACTGAAGTTGCTGATTTTGCTGCAGCCTGAGTTTTCCAGGTGGTAATTAGCCCATCTCAGCAGGAGCTCCTCAGGGGAGAGTTTCATCAAATCCTCCAGACTCTCCCCTTCTCTCAGAAGAGCAATCAGAACTGAGGAAGCACAAAAGCAGAAGTAAAATGAATACAGGGATATTTGGGAGGATTAGTTATAACTTCCATTGTGCTCTGCTGGAAAGCCAAAGATAACAACTTTCTCTCTCTAGGGTAAAGATACTCACAGCTTTTCCCATGGAGTAAATACTTTATTATTATTCCCTAAAAAAAGGTGTAGGGTACTGTGAGTTAATTTATTATCTCTATTTTTCAGATGGGAAAGAAAAGGCACCAATTAATCTCAATGCTATGCCTAAGAGTAAGTTGGTAGAGCCAAGGAAATAAACAAGACTATTGGCTCAGAACACTCCACGGGGGCTGTCAGATCACATTTCATGAGATGACAACATTTTTGCTTGTAAGTGATCAATTTTGTAATAATGACTATGTTCTATAGATTGTGTTTAATATTTCAAATGCTTTCTTGAATAATTATAGCAGCTCAAAAAGTAGGATAAACTCTTCCTTCTATATTTTCCAGATGAATACATATTTCTTGCTCAGTTAAAAAATTTAAATTTAACTGAGGTCATTATTTGCAAATCGATAGTCTTTCTCATGGACTCTGAGTTCTCTATTTGTTTTTTCTTCTTCTTTATATTATGCTTAATATATTGGTTTTATATTACCCCAGGATTCTTCACAGGTTATTGTG